CATGGAGAGACATAGACATGCCAACACAGAGGACAAGAGAAGACTTATAAATCCAAACTAATAGCAGCAACACAAGAACTTAACATATTTTTAACACAATATAAGAACACAAAAATACAAAACCGACTCAAAACTGCTGGGTCACAGAAATATAATCAAAATATGTAAAAATATAATCAATATTCAATATCAACTAACACACCCTGTTCATGTAGGCTAGGGATGAGTGTTTCCCACACTCTCGAGGCGCCCTTTGACCTTTGTATGACCTCTGTTTCTTATGTGCGCCATGTTTTACTCTGAGACTTATTGGAGCCTTCAAACTCCATCTTGCTGCAGGAACCTGGAGAAATAAGTTGCCATCACAGTCCCATAGAAATACCCGCAGGCGTGTCACCTTTCTGAGAAACTACGATTGCTTATTTGACCCAAACCAGTGGCTCTAAAATCCATCTGAACAGATACGATAAGGATAAGAATCAAATCTGACCCAGAACAGCCTGAAACTTGTAGCACTTGTACAACAGCATAAAATGTTACCATGTTTTAACTTTTTGTGGGTCGCTTTAGGAAAAGCAGTCAAATTTAGTGTGTTTTTCTTAAATTTGGTCCAGACCGAAAAGCAAGGGTTTAAAGAGTCTCTTTAATCTCTGGAGTATCTTTCACTTCAGCACTTTTTAAAAAATAATTCATTGTAAATAAGTGAACAAATATCTGTCCTTCCATTTCAGTCCAACCGGGCTCACGGGGATGTTAAAGATCGACTCGGAAAATAGTTGTGAGAAAAAGTAAATCCAGGGATTAAGAAAGAGAAAGCAGGTCAAGCACCTTCATGTCTGAGATGTTTGTAGACGATGAAAAAACATTTAACTTTTTTACCGCTCGCCATCTGTGAGCTGAAGACATTTCTTCAGATGGTTTTCCACAATTATAAAGCTGCAGTTTCAGTGCCTGAAAACACATTTCTTAAAAATGTTGTTTTGACTTCTGAAAAGAAGTCGAACGCTTGAACGTCGAGGATGAAAAGGCAGCAGAGTCTCTGAATGCCGTAGTGCGAGGCAGCTCTCGGGAGAACAGACATCCCTGAGTCAATATTACAGTCAGCTCACCCTCACCTGGTGGCTCTGCATCAATCAGCTCTCTGATGTCGGCACCCTCTGCTCCGCAGCTTCCTCCCTCTGCCCTTCATCTCTTCTTCTCCCTCTCTGTCTGTCTTCCATCTCCTTCCAGATGTCAACAAGTTTGATCAGGCTGACGTGGGAAAACTGCTGTTTGGCTGTCGCTCCTCAGCACCCTGACAGATCCTCCAGCCTCTCGTCTCCTTTTCTTTTGCTCCCCAGTCACTTGTGATTCCAGCGC